CCCAATTTCTATCAGAACATGGTCTCACATGAAACGTGCTTTCACAGTGTTTTCCCCATCATTTATTTTACAAGTGGCACTTCCTGAAGCTGAGCACTGCTACAGCTCTGCAAAGTGCTTTGTGAAAGGGCTCCTGCCCTGTGTCAAACAACAACTCAAAATACATTTATATTTTGGCTTGAAGGAGACCTTTCAGAGCCTGGCTGGTGCAGCAGCTGCCTTTCCTTCAGGGTGCAGGTGGAAAAGCCAGTTCACTGTTCTGCATCGTACCTGGGAATGAGCAGCAGCTTCCACTGCAAACCCAGCGAGTCACCCACCCAAGGCAAAGGTTGGACTGTCAGTCTGCGGGGTTTTATCCATGCCCAGGGGTCTCTTCAGGCTTTCCTTTTCTGGGTAACCTGCTGATTGGGGATGGACATGGCAAAGGAAGCCTTGGGTTGTGGCCTTTACCCTTGTGTGGCCTTCACCCTTGGGTTGTGGCCTTCACCCTTGTGTGACACCCTTGTGTGGTACTAACTAAGGAGTTTCCTCATTTCTCACTATGCGTCTTTCTTTCTCACACCAGTCCTGATTTCTGACCAAATCTAAAGAATAACAAACATGGGAGCCCACTATGGGAGCCCAGACTGTGCTTAAAAACCACAGGCACTGAGGTACCTAAATCACCATCCTGGGCACCAGCTAGGCCATCCTTGATCCCAAGGGATGGCTGTTTCCTCCTGGATCCTCCTGATGGAGGTGCTGATGAAGAAGGTCTTGGCCTCCACTGCTGGGATGGTCCTGTCTGAGAACTCACATTGAGATTCAGGTGCTCCCCAGCTGAAGAGTGATGGGAATCAGGCTTCCATCCCTCCTCCCACTCTTTCTTACATCCTCCGGGATCAGAAACCCCCTATCTACCTATAGGGGGTTCTGCTTCCCTGACCACCTGGCATAGGTGTCCTACTGCAAAGACAAACACAGCACCTAAATTTAACAGGATTTTCCATCAGCAGAAGAGCCAGTGAAGCCTCTACAGAGCCACAGAATTGTTAAAGTTGAAGAAGCCCTCAGAGATCATCGAGTAAAAAATCCAGACTAGGATATATCCCACTTTTCTGCAAATACCTGCAGCGCAGACACCATCAGCTCATTAGTTGTGCCTGGATGTTTTTGTAGTCATAGAATCACCACCAAAAGTTTTGGGTTGGAAGGGACCAGCAGCACCACCCAAACCCCACTGTCCCAGGTTGCTCCAACCTGGCTTTGGGCACTTCCAGAGATCCAGGGGCAGCCACAGCTGCTCTGGGCACCCTGTGCCAGGACCTCACCATCCTCACAGGGAGGAATTTCTTCCCAATCTCCCATCCAACCCTGCCCTCTGTCAGTTTAAAGCCACTGCCCCTTGTCCTATCATTTTTTGCCAATATAACAAGTTTTGCTGCCTCCTTTATGAGCCTCCTTTAGGCACTGAGCTCTCCCTGGAGCCTTTTCCTCTCCATGTAAGCACTCCCAGCTCTGCCATCCTGGCTCTAGAGTAGAGCCCCAGCCCTTGGAGCATCTCCATGGCTTGACACTACCAAAGGGAGATGAGCTACATGCTACAAACCAGTCTTAAACTCCTGGCCCCACATCTCTGAGAAATCTCTGGCTGAATTCTCTTGGCAGGTGTTTGCTCAGGGAGCAGGAACCCTGACACAAACCCCAGAAGCACCTCCCAGCAGCCCAGGAGAGCTCCACTGTTCTCCACAGACAGGACCCAAACACAAACCACAAACCAGGATTTCATCTTGGCTTGAACAACCCACTGCTCAAGATCCTCATTAGCCACAGAAGCTGTTAATTGTATTTAAACTGCTGGTGAAACACCCCGTGCTCAGGGACTGGGATCACACATCCAAGAGGGAGTTAAATCACTCAGCTGATAAATAGACTGTGGTGGTGTCGGGGAGTTTGAGCTGATTTAAAGAAAAATCATTGCAGATTATTTGAGCCTGGAGGAATGGCTGACAGCATTTGGCACACACAATATTTGAAAATTTTGGTTATTTCAGCTTTTCAGCACCAATGTGATGAATATTACCCCCGTGCAACAAATGTGGGAGCTACTCTGCAGAGTGACAAGGATGTGTGCAGACACAGAGACACCGAGCACGGAAGTTTCTGAGTGCTGAAGGACTTTAAAGTGGAGCTGAGAGTCTTTTGTCACTTGAAAAATTTAATTTTACTAAAAATTTTAATCAGACCTCAGTGAACAGTGTGACTCAATGATGACTTCCTGCAAATTCATGTCAAAGAGAGAAAAAAAAGAAGTCAAAACATTTGGATATTTTCAGAAGAAAAGAGATCACTTGTTCATTTCACTTCGGTGCGATTTGAAGGCTCAATTTGAAATGTCTCTGAATTTTAATAAATTCCAATTTACTCTGGAGTTGAAACAATACATTGCTCTACAATTGAAAGATATCTTGTTTTTCATGGGAGTTTTACTTTCATTTAAAGTGTGCATCAATATAATTTTCTGTTGCTCCTGAATTCTTTCACCTAATTTTGTCTTATGAAATAAATAAAACCCATTCTACTTTACCACTTATAACCTTCTTTAGCAGAGTTGGCTGCAGCATGTTTCAGCTTGTGGATTTACAGTGAAATTTCCTGATTTCTGCAAGTTTCAGACCTGTCTCCTGAGCTGCAAAATCCAAGATCAGAAGTTTCTGTTCCCTTCTTGACAGCATTGGACGATTCTCAGATTTGAATAGGAAATTGCCATTAATAAAGGGGAGGGAGGGGAAATCAGAGGCAGCATATTTTGTAGTCATAAAATAAATGAACTTTTGCCGTGTTTATATTATACATATAATATGGCAGGAAGCAAAGATCAAAGCTGTGTTTATAAAGGACTTGGCCAGTTGTGTGCTTGGAGGAAGCAAATGGGTTAGTGGGAGGCACCTCAAGAATGAAGTTTGGATTTTTAGCTGGTGGAAATCAGTGTGCCTCCTTTGACTTGTCTGATTTACATCAGCAGAGAAGCTGGCACCAGGGTCTCAAGGCAGAACAGATATGGTAAAACTAAATAAAATTAATTTTTCCTACTGAAAAGTATTTGTCTGAGGTTCCTTCTCTGTTTCAAAGTACTGGGAGTAACTCAGAGGAACAGGATCCTGATTTCCAGCTTCATTAGCTGGAAGGTTGTCATGTGGTTGGATCTAAACAATCTTTAAAGTCCCCTCCATCCCAAATCATTCAGTGATTTAGTTATTTTTAAGGTGGAAAGGTGCAAATGAGGTTTGGAGCTGGTTCCTGCCCTGGCTGGCCAAGGAAGGGAACATCAGAATGGGGATGCTCAGAGGGCTCAACCTTCAAGGACTGGCATCTCCCTGAGCCCCACAATTCCCAAACTGTTTATTTGCAGGTTAAACCACTTCCCCTCCATTCCCCCCAATACCCCTGATCACTGAAAGGGAAACTGAGGCACGGCCAAATGGTATAATTCATCCCTGGTCTTGCAGGGAGAGGAGCTCAGTGCAGCCTTACTGCTCCCTGCCTGAGTTATACCATCAACTGCAACGCTCCCACAGGGTGAAAATTCTCACAGCAATGATTTCACCCCTGTGGAGAGCTGATCCAAACCCCCAAACACCACCCTCACCCACAGGAGACACTGGAGCAGAGGCACCAGACAGCAGCATGGTGAGAGCAGCCAGGCACAGCCCTGATCCACCACTCCAGGGACCCCTCAGCTCTCCAGGCACCAGGGATCCCAGGGGATTATCCCACTGGAGGGTGTCTCACAGCCCTGGGCTCCAGCTGTGCCTGGAGACACAGCCCAGGGAAACAGCCCCAGTGCTGGAGGGAGCTCAGAAACCTCAGCAGGGCAAAATCTGTCCTGCAGTCACAATTGCTGTTCCCACCGACTGGAGAGGCAGCCCCGAGCAAGAGGATCTGAAAAAACCCTGAGAAAAAAGTGCAGCAGCCCCAGCTGTGCTGAATGCTCCTCTGGCTGCAGGCTTGGTGGGACACAAGTCCCCCATGGGCTGTGGGACACGTGGCTCCCAGCTGGCAGATGGAATGACAGACCTCCCTGCTTTGCTGAGCTCTGTGCAAAGGCTGCTGCTGATGCTCAGGAATTATTTCGATCTCGTTTTTCCCAGCTCCAGGTTCAGCTGCAGCATTCCAGAGGGTTAATCGGGTGCCCTGAGCTGGGTGCCTGCTGTCAGGGCGAGGAGCACTGGCTTCCCTGCACATCCTGGGTCCCTGGTGCTGGAAGGGGACACTCACACACGTCCCTGGTGGGCTCTGTGCCTGCTCAGCCTCCCCTGCTCGCAGGGGGGAGCATCCTTCTCACAACCAACTTGCCAAAACTTTAGCGCACAACACGAGAGACGGCCCTAAATGAGCACACGGGCACTACAGCAGGGCCACAGCTCCTGGGGGTGGTGGATCAGACCTGGAAAACCACAAAGGATCTTCACCCATCACCCTTATGAACAACACTCGGTCCTGTTTCAGGTCCCTGCACAACAGCATCAACCCGGGAAAGTCAGGATTTGTGCTTCAGGCTCTGACACACTCCTTGGAGGGAATAAACCTCACTCATCTCCAACAGAGGTGGGAGCCCTGGACCCACAGGGGCATATCCAGGTGCAGTTCCCAAACTAGGAGAATGAGGAGACAGCAAAACTGTTGTTGGAGACGACATAGAAACAGCCTGTATGAAACAGAGCTGCTTCCTTCCTAGCCTAAACTTTGTTAGTTAAAATGCTGAACGCAGAATGAATTAATGAAAGCAATTATTATTTATAGCTGCTATTTTATTCATTTGCTATCTACTCTGATTGATTATATGACTTTGCTTAATAAATATTGAATAAGTGTTAATTAATTGAATGAATTCATCGCTGGTTTATTCACCTATCAGTCATCTCTCCCTCATTTTTATGCATGAGTTGTGTCCTGAAAAGTTTGTCCCAAGGAGCAGGTCCCCAGGGGCTCAGCCCCAGGCATGGGATGGGGTCACTTACCAAAAGGTAGGATGAAGAAGAAGGGGAACCAGCAGAGGATGAAGACACCCACGACGATGGCAAGAGTCTTGGCTGCTTTTTTCTCCCGGGAGAACTTGAGGAGCCTCACGGAGAGGGAGCTCCTGAAGTTGTGTCCCTTGCTGCGGGTGCTGGAGAGGGGCTCCTCCAGCACGCTGCGGCAGTGGATGCGCAGCACCACCTCCATGGACTTGTTCCTCTCCTTCTTGACCCCTGCCTCCAGGCTCCGGGTGGTCCGCCTGGCCACCACGTAAATCCTGAAGTACATCACCAGGATGACCATGAGGGGCAGGTAGAAGGAGAAGAGGGAGGAGAAGAGGGCATAGCCCGGCTCCTCTGTGATGCTGCAGATGCTCTCGTCCGGCGGCGGCGGCTCCTTCCAGCCCAGCAGCGGCCCGATGGAGATGACCATGGAGGAGAGCCAGACCACCACGAGGATGACTCCCGCCTTCCTCTCCGTCATGATGGTGGGGTACTTGAGGGAGTACTTGACGCCGATGTACCTGTCCACGGAGATGATGCACAGGCTCATGATGGAGGCAGAGCAGCAGAGCACGTCCACCGCTGCCCAGATGTTGCAGAAGATGCGCCCGAACACCCAGAAGCCCAACACCTCCAGGGTGGCCGAGAAGGGCAGCACGGTGGTGCTCAGCAGCAGGTCGGCGATGGCCAGGTTGACGATGAAGTAGTTGGTGACAGTCTGCAGGTGCCGGTTGCAAGCCACCGAGAGGATGACCAGGATGTTCCCCACGATGGCCGAGAGGATGAAGACGGCCAGGAACACCCCGACTCCCACCGCCTGCACGTCCAAGGCGAAAGTCAGCGTGGTGCCGTTGCCCTCGGGGGTCTCCTCCCCTTGCAGCCCCCAGGACCGGTTGGCAGCGCTCTGGCCGCCTTGTCCCGTCCGGTTCTCACTCAAGCTGCCATTGCTCAGCTCGGGGAAAGTCATTGTAGAGAAAGTGCGGGCTCCATTGAGGGCGAGGAGAAAGCGGTGCCTAGGCGCAGCTCCCCCAGCATCATCCCCGGCTGGCAGCCCCCGCCAAGACGCACCTCGCTCCCCCGGCCGGGGTGGAGGAGACAGGGATGGAGGGATGGAGAGAAAGAGAGAAAAAGGGAGGGAGGGCAGGACGCGGTGCCCCCCGCCCGCTTCACGCCGTCCGCCCGCGCTGCCCCCCGCTGTCCCCGCTGTCCCCGCTGTCCCCGGCGCTCAGCCCCGGGGGGGCAGCGCGGTCAGAGCCCCCCCGCCGCCCTGGCATGCTCCGGGGGCTGCGCTGGGCACGGCCGGCAGCGCCCGGCGGCTCCGCGGCTCCGACCGACAGCGGCGGGAGGGGCCGGACGGGCCGGGGGCGGGCGGGAGCCCCGCGCGTCAGGTGCCGCCGGGGAGGAGGAGGAGGAGGAGGAGGAGGAGAGGAGGAGGCAGCGCGGCTTTGCAGGACGAGGCGAGCCCCGGGCAGAGTGAAAGCGGCAGCAGAGCAGGAGGGGAGAGGGGAGATGATGGAGGGGGTCCACGCGAGATGAAGGAGGGGGTCCAGGCGAGATAATGATGGAGGGGGTCCAGGCGAGATGATGAAGGGGGTCCAGGCGAGATGATGATGATGATGATGGAGGGAGTTCAGGCACGCTCTGGATGGAGGCAGCCCCCGGGAGGGTCTCGCAGCACTGGGGTGCAGCCTCAGGAGGAGCACTCAGAACTGGGGTTTAGTCCCCAGGAGGAGCGCTCAGAACTGAGGTGCAGCCCCAGCAGGATAACTCAGAACTGGGGTGCAATACCAGGGAGATCACTCAGAACTGGGGTTTAGCCCCCAGGAGGGGTCACTCAGCACTGGGATGCAGCCCCAGCAGGACCACTCAGAACCTGGGTCCAGTCCCATCAGGATCACTCAGTACCGGGTTTAACCCCCACCAGGATCACTCAGAATTGGGGTGTAGTCCCAGCAGGATGACTCAAAACTGGGATTTAACCCCCAGGAAGATCAGTCAGAATTGGAGTATAGTCCCAGGAGGAGCACTCAGCACTGCGATTTATCCCCCAGCAGGATCACTCAGAATTGGGGTACAGCCCCAGCAGGCACACTAAGCAGTGGGGTTTATCCCCCAGCAGGATCACTTAGAATTGGGATGCAGCCCCAGCAGGATCACTCAGTCCCGGGAGTGCGGCGCTCCCGCCCGTCACCGCCGGAGGGCAGCAGAGCGCAGGGATTGCCCGGCGGGTCCCGGGGCTGCGGGGACAGCAAAGGGACAGAGTGGGGACAGAGTGGGGACAGCAAAGGGACAGCGAGGGGACAGAGCGGGGACAGCGAGGGGACAGCGCCATCCCACTGGAGACCACCCTTGCGGCACCCCCGGGACCGCATCCCAGCGGGAGGATGCCCTGCCAGGCTGACGTGGCTCTCTCCCAGCATCCCACCACAATGACCTCCTATATGGCTGGCATGTCCCTGTCAGCCTCAATATCCCACCAGCAGGATGCTGTGCACAGATGTCCTGTTTCCCCCAGGCCCAGCATCCCACCAGGAGAATGCCCTGCCAGTCTGGCCATTCATCCCCAGCATCCCACCAGGAGAATGCCCTGCCAGTCTGACAGGTCACCCCCAGCCCCAGCATCCCACCAGAAGGATGCCTTGCCAGTTTTCCTTTGTGGTCCTGCATCCAGCATCCCTCCCGTGCCAAACCCTGACCCCTCAAGCATCCTGCTCGTGGTGCAAGCATCCCCTCATGAGCTCCCTCCCAAAGCACAAGGGACAGTCAGGGTCTTGCATTTGGGACAGCTCCCTGCCAGGACTGAACCCTGCAGTAAACTTTGCCACAGCAGCCTGTGACTATAACATATTTAACATATAGGAATATATTTCTGGCTAATTTAAACAGGACTGGGTTTTTTTTTTTTCCCACCGATAAAAGCAGATCCTGTTTACACTGGTTTCCTTCCAGTGACCTGCCTCCATACATTGGGATGGGGACTGACCCTGCTGGTGAACAGGGGCTCTCCCTCAGCTTCTTTCTACTGTACACAGGAAATATTTCCTTGGAGTGTGTTTATCCATGATTTTTCAACTTTTTTTTCCTTAAGAAAATAGTCGGTTTAAAGGGCAGGCCAAGTGGACAGTGGGATGATTTAACTGGTGCTGTCAGAGCATGGGAGATCTGGAGATTCACTGGGTATGGGAGTGGATAAAAAATATTACAGCTTCTTTATTCCTTTATTTCCCTTGATAATCATTGCAGGAAATGACACATTTTTGATTTTCTTCATTTCTTTCATGCACTTTTTTTTCTTCCTTAAGATTTCACCCAACTTCCTTGTGCTGGGATTTTGGCCCTGCTGAGAAGAAAACTTGAAAGTACAAGAAAATAGAAACAAACATTGCACAAGAAAAATGTTCATAAGGATGGTTTTGCTTAAAATAACCCACCCAACAAATACTTAACAGCTTTTTTAATGTGATTTTTTTTTTTAAAAAGCCCAAACACCCAACACTTGGGGTCAAATTAGTTTTCCTTATGTTTTGATGAAAACATGTCAGCCACCAAAATGAAGGATTGTTTCTTACTGGGATGCTAAACTCAGCATGGGAAGATCTCATCCATGGAATTTTGTAGCCCTATCTTTGCAGCAACACAGATTGCTGTGGAGATAAATTTATCTCATCTAATCTATCCAGTGACACCCAGAGATAAAGAAAACATGTGCCTCCCTCCAAAGTGAAGGGTTGACTGAAGCTTCTCATGTACAGCAGGATTTTAAGCACGTAGGGAGAAAAGATGGGACGAAGATTTTGAGTCTGCCCTGATCCTGCCTGTTGGGACATTGGATGCTGAGAATTTTAGATTTCTGTGCTGCCAGGCACTGACCCCCAGGAGAACACTGCATTGACCTGAGGCCATGGAGAAGGCTTCCAAAATTGAATGGTAGAACTGGGATTGTGGGTGTGGAGTTTGAATAGAAGTGTGTAATATCACAGGGTGGAAAACTTAAGGTTTTAGAATATATATATAAATATATATAGTAATATATATACTATATATAGTATATAGTATATATACCATATATATAGTATATATACCATATACATAGTATATAGTATATATAATATATAGTATATATAGTATATATAGTATATATAGTATATATATATATGATGGAGGTTTTAGGGCAGAGGCTGGCCCTTCTTCTTTACCTTCTTCTTCAGCTTCTTCTCCATGGGTTTGGGTGGCTTTGTGTAATTGGATAAACAAATTCACATTGTGGGCCATGGGTGGTTGGTTATTGGGTTAAAAGTAAAAATAATTTAGGTGTTATTTCCTAATTGGACAGTTTATCCCTAAAAGACCATGTAGAGAGAGAGATGGGGCTCCATTTTTAGTTTGTTAGGGTGAGGTGCTGTAGAACTCAGGGTTTGTGAGACTGTGACATAGAGAAGAACTAATAAAGATCTGAGTCCGAACAAGAAATACCATCTCACACATTTAATCCTGGCGAAAAAGAAGCAAAAGAATCCTCACCTACCCTCCCTGGGCGAGCTCTCCTCCTCTCCTGATGTCTCCAAACACAACTTGTCCTGTGTTGCTGAGGGGTTGGAGCTGGCATGGACTGCAGGGTTTGAGTGGGGTGCAAGGATGGGATGGGAGGGAGGAAGGGGCAATTTTTGGTGGGGGTAAGAGCCTGGGGGCTGCAACTTCTGCCCCAACCACACAGAAAACCCCTGAGGTTGCTCTGATGCCTTTGCCATCCCCACCAGGGCAGGGAGAGATCACATCCTGTGCTGTCACTGTCAGCTAAAGTACATCAGAAACACATCATGTGCTTCTCTCCAAATCAGGGCCATTATGGTTAATTTAATCTTTAATTTGTTCCTAACAAGGAACAGGTTTGTGCTGATCCACTTAAACCCAAATAAAAGCGTTGGGCTAGGTCTGCATGGAGAAATTTGAAGTAAACACACACAGAGGTGTGTGAGCACCTGGTATATTGCCAATCAGAAGGTACAGCTCTTCCCTCTTGTTGTCTTTTATCCCTTTCCTCCCTCTTTTTTTACTCTTTCGGAGCAGAGGCTAACCTGGGATTGAAGTAGAGCCATTTGGTGATGTGAACAGGGCTCTTTAGATAATAAAAAGACACACATACACCTGCTGAACAGTGTTTGTCACGCTGTAATTACATGTTATGCCCAAATCTTGGAAAGGAAAGGCAATTTTTTGGTTCAAAGCACCAGAGCTTAAAGGATTTTGATCAACATTTGCAAACACTCTGGGGTTTGTACCAAGCAGAGTGGTACTGTGGGTGGAAGATGTTCCCTGCCCATGGCAGGGGGTTGGAAATAAATTATCTTTAAGGTCCTTTCCAACCCAAACCATGATTTTGCCTGCAGTATCTCCTGGATCCAGAGCTGGGAGAAATGGATTGAGCTCACAGCCAATGCAGATTCATAACATTCATAATATTTAAGGCAAATTAATAATATTTGAGTGTTTGTAAAGGTAGGCTTGAGTTGCCTTGGGTAGGGCATCCAAAAATCCTCAGGAAAGCCAGGATCAATCTTCACTGCTGGTCCCTCTGAGGTCCTGTCCAGCTCTGCTGGCTCCTGTGCTGCACACAGGTCTTCAAATATAATAAAAATGAGCTTAAAGTGATTGCAAGGAATGGTTCAAACCTGTTCTGCTGCACCTTTTGTTTCCAAACATGGGGGCTCTGGAGATATTGGAGATCTGGACAGTAATTGGGAGATGTAATGAGCAAAGCCTGGACTGGGCAATTGTGCAGAGCTTTAGAAATGTGGAGAAATTTGATTTTAATTGTGAATGTGTGTGTAAATTGTCCACCTTTGTTCATGTTGTGCTGTTACTCTCTTTCAACCTAAATGATTCTAAGAAGTCATTTTGACTTTGTTAGAGTGAATTATTTTTGTTGATGTAAGTGAAGTCTTTGTGATGAATGCATGTTTTGTTAATATTTTTGTATTCTTGCAATTTTATTTAAGTCTAGGAAAAACCAGGCTATGCTGTGAATGTTTATGGCTTAATAAATGAGGCAGAGAGGAGAAGAAAATAGCTTTTGTTGACTGCATGATAAAGGTGGGGGAGAAGAAACTCTGAGCATCCTCTAATGAGATCTACTTAAACCTGCTCAGATATGGATTAAAATTCCCTTTCCCTTTGCCTTCCTGC